CACACACACACACACACACTCACTCACTCACTCACTCACTCACTCACTCACCACACACACACACACACACACACACACACACACACACACACACACACACACACACACACACACACACACACACACACACACACACACACACACACACACACACACACACACACACACACACACACAGCTTATTTTTTTCCTCCCTGTGTATTGGCACTGACTTTCTAGACCCTGACATAGGCACAGTTCACCACACCCATAAGGCCATCCACTGTTAGCTAAGTAATCTTCACCCCTCCCTATTATCCCAGTACCTGGTTCTCAGCCAGCCACAGGGCCTGTAGTTCCTTCAGTTTCATGAAGCTGTAGGGTATGGCCCTGATTTCATTGCCCGCCAGGTTCAGCACCCTCAGTCTGGGGATCCTGCCTATCTCATCTGGCACGTAGGTCAGTTTATTGCTTCTCAGAGACAGGACTGTTAAACCACTGCAGCTTCCAAGCTGAAGAACGGGAAATAATGTTATTACACATAAAGGAGAACCTTTCTTTAGCATTTTGGTCTTTAATGGTAAGATTGAAACAATTATGAAATCAATACTTTGAAATTTCAAGGATGTTCTCAAAGCAACATCATAGCTCCATGATTGTGCATTTTGATTCACAAACTGGGAAAGCTCCTTTAAACTTGTACAATGCCTATTTATATCATATACAAATGATATGTGTAACTGCTGACCTCTGGTGGCAGTTCCATGAGGAAGTTCTCATCTGCAATCAGTGTGCGTAGGTGGCGCAGTAGACCAATACTGGGGGGGATCTCCTCCAGGTCATTGGCGGCCACATTCAGTTCTGACAAAGATACCAGTCTGAAAGGGACATAGTTTGATTAATATTCATATTTCATAAGACTGTATAAATTTTACAAAGACATTGACAGCAATAAGTGTATTGACAAGCAGTACAAGATTCTCCAGTCATGAGCCTAGGTTTAAAAAAAAATCTGAACAGATTTTATTGCAGATCTTGACGAAACTCAGGAACCATCAGATCTGCCTTTCTGCAGAAAAAGCTCTATGTCTATTCTCTGTCCTTTTTTATATACAAGAAGTGCTGTCTCAAAAATAATTGATAAGTGTCCTCGTATGTGCTTACCCTCCTATGGAAAATGGTAATGAGGTCAACTGATTGTCATCTACTTTCAGTGTAGTCAGATTGCTCAGGCGACCTAAAAATAAGAAAAACATGATATTTTTTATTACCACAAAACCTAAAGAATGAGTTATAGGACATGCTTTTTTTCAGTAAAACAGACAAGATCTAGCAATCAAGCGAATTGATTTCATACATTGGTAACTGCCAAGAACAAGATAAATAATCCATCAGTGTAACATTAACAAGTATCTTGTACATCTACATCTTAATCCAAAGCATTAACAAACTTAAGTCAGAGAGTTCATCTCACACAAAACCTGCTACCAAGCCAGGTTCCCCCCTCTCTGTCATTCCATACCTATAGACTCTGGCAACTCTCCCAGTAAATTGGTAGTGAGGTGCAGGTCTGACAGGGAGACACACCCCTCTATCTCTGGTGCAATCCAGTCTATTCTGTTCTTTGTTGCATCTAAGTACATTAAGTTCTTGCAGGTCCCCAGCGCCTGGAGGAATAAAAATTAACATAAATACTTAACAAAGATTAAGTGACAGCTACAGAGTAGTCTAAGTAATGTTTTACCAACCTCAATTAGATGTGTTTAGACATAAAACGTCAGGAGGCAGATATACATCTATACTACTAGTTTCATTCTATGAGGATATATTGTCCCATGTGCTGCCACTAACTCGAGTCCAGTATTAAAAATGCCCACAACAGTACACTGTAATGTTATGATGCCACTTTCAGCTACATTGTTACCTTGCCATCAAATACAATACAATGACAATACAGTGAGAGGTTGGGCTATTACAGCTACAGTGTTACAATGTTTCTAAATACAATACATTGCCAATACTGTGAGAGACTGGGGGTGTTACTTCCAGATGCAGTGTAAGCAAGTAATCAAAAACAACACAACACAACACAATACAATACAAGGGCAATGCTAGGGGCATTACTTACAGCTGGTAACTGTGTTATCTGGTTAGAATCACACCATAGTTCCAGGAGGTTCACAAGACTGCCAACAACTTCAGGCTGCAATGGAAAAGAAGTGATATCAGCTCCTATAGATGACGTCACATATTTGAATGATATTAGAAAATGTTAGTTGCATTCACTTCTCTAAGATGTTGCTTAACAATTACATTTCTAAATNACCTACGCTGGTGGTACAATTACTGTGCCCCTGCAGGGGCGACGCGTGGGGAGGCGTGAAAGAGGCAGAGAGATTAAGGGTAAGGATTAAGCAGTCTTCCTTTCATGTAGGTCTGCCATGTTTAGGCCTTGGACCAGCTAGCAATTGGCTCTTTTCATTCTAAATGGCCCCATATATGTTCATAATCCAAAAAGTACATTGTGCTCAGACATATATAAGGCATAAGTGAACTCACCACCTCAGGATCTGGCTGATCTCCAAAGTCAAACTGTATAACCCGCCTGTTCCTGTTCTCCTCCTCCCACATGGACGGATGGAAACTGTTGTCATCACTGTATATATCTGAAAGGAGGACACACAGTTTACGTGAATAGGATACATTGTAATAGGGATAAGTCATCAAATAAACATAATAGCTATCCTTTCCATACCTACTCTCGAAGCTGGCATAAGATTGTTTGATTTTAGGCTTGCTATTACTGTACATTTTCAGCAAAGATTCAGAGAACAAATCTGGCAGTGAGAATCTTTTTAGACACAGAGGCTGATTGAAAAAGGCTCCCTCCTTCAGATAAAATAACTTCTAGGCATTATTTGTGCCATACATCATGATTGCTACTCTTGTTTGTATTGCCTGGCAAGTTACCTTCAGGGTTTGAAGCCTGTTGAGGCAGCAGGTAGCAGGTCAACATTCTCTTGCCTGTGTCCACATCTATATCACTCTGCAGGCGGATCAGGGGCTGAGCCTGACAGGTGGAGAGAACAGACAACCTTCAGTTGTTTTTCAATAATAATACATAATAATATTTGTAATTGCTCAAACTGGGAAAGCTCCTTTAAACTTGTCCAGATTCTCTCTCTCTCTCTCTCTCTCTCTCTCTCTCTCTCTCTCTCACACACACACACACACACAGACACACTGAAAGTAATTTAGCGAGAAACCCCATGGAGATGGACCGATCTTGTTAGATCGATCTAGGGATGGGAACCCAGTCCTAGCTAAGTAACCCTCAGCCCTCCCTCCATATCCCATTACCTGGTTCTCAGCCAGCCACAGGGCCTGCAGTTCCTTCAGTTTCATGAAGCTGTAGGGTATAGCCCTGATCTCATTGCCAGCCAGGTTCAGCACCCTCAGTCTGGGGATCCTGCCTATCTCATCTGGCACATAGGTCAGCTTATTGCTTCTCAGAGACAGGACTGTTAAACCACTACAGCTTCCAAGCTGAAGAATGGGAAATAATGTTATTTCACATAAAAGAGAAGCTTTCTTTAGCACTGTGGTCTTAAATGGTAAGATTGAAACAATTATGAAATCAATACTCAAGGATTTCAAGGATGTTCTCAAAGCAACATCATAGCTCCATGACTGAACATTATGATTCTTAATGCCTATTTATATCATATACAAATGATATGTGTAACTGCTGACCTCTGGTGGCAGTTCCATGAGGAAGTTCTCATCTGCAATCAGTGTGCGTAGGTGTCGCAGTAGACCAATACTGGGGGGTATTTCCTCCAGGTCATTGGCGGCCACATTCAGTTCTGACAAAGATACCAGTCTGAAAGGGACATAGTTTGATTAATATTCATATTTCATAAGACTGTATAAATTTTACAAAGACAAAGACAGCAATAAGTGTATTGACAAGCAGTACAAGATTCTCCAGTCATGAGCCTAGGTTTAAAAAAAAAATCTGAACAGATTTTATTGCAGATCTTGACGAAACTTAGGAACCATCAGATCCGCCTTTCTGCAGGAAAAGCTCTATGTCTATTCTCTGTCCTTTTTTACATACAAGAAGTGCTGTCTCAAAAATAATTCATAAGTGTCCTCGTATGTGCTTACCCTCCTATGGAAAATGGTAATGAGGTCAACTGATTGTCATCTACTTTCAGTGTAGTCAGATTGCTCAGGCGACCTAAAAATAAGAAAAACATGATATTTTTTATTACCACAAAACCTAAAGAATGAGTTATAGGACATGCTTTTTTTCAGTAAAACAGACAAGATCTAGCAATCAAGCGAATTGATTTCATACATTGGTAACTGCCAAGAACAAGATAAATAATCCATCAGTGTAACATTAACAAGTATCTTGTACATCAACATCTTAATCCAAAGCATTAACAAACTAAAGTCAGAGAGTTCATCTCACACAAAGCCTGCTACCAAGCCAGGTTCCCCCCTCTCTGTCATTCCATACCTATAGACTCTGGCAACTCTCCCAGTAAATTGGTGGTGAGGTGCAGGTCTGACAGGGAGACACACCCCTCTATCTCTGGTGCAATCCAGTCTATTCTGTTCTTTGTTGCATCTAAGTACATTAAGTTCTTGCAGGTCCCCAGCGCCTGGAGGAATAAAAATTAACATAAATACTTAACAAAGGTTAAGTGACAGCTACAGAGTAGTCTAGGTAATGTTTTACCAACCTCAATTAGATGTGTTTAGAAATAAAACGTCAGGAGGCAGATATACATCTATACTACTAGTTTCATTCTATGAGGATTTATTGTCCCATGTGCTGCCACTAACTCGAGTCCAGTATTAAAAATGCCCACAACAGTACACTGTAATGTTATGATGCCACTTTCAGCTACATTGTTACCTTGCCATCAAATACAATACAATGACAATACAGTGAGAGGTTGGGCTATTACAGCTACAGTGTTACAATGTTTCTAAATACAATACATTGCCAATACTGTGAGAGACTGGGGGTGTTACTTCCAGATGCAGTGTAAGCAAGTAATCAAAAACAACACAATACAATACAAGGGCAATGCTGGGGGCATTACTTACAGCTGGTAACTGTGTTATCTGGTTAGAATCACACCATAGTTCCAGGAGGTTCACAAGACTGCCAACAACTTCAGGCTGCAATGGAAAAGAAGTGATATCAGCTCCTATAGATGGCGCCACATATTTGAATGATATTAGAAATTGTTAGTTGCATTTACTTCTCTAAGATGTTGCTTAACAATTACATTCCTAAATTCCAATTTATACTCCTCCCTCTTACCATATATCATGTCCCACATACAGATTATTAAACAAACAAAAAATAAAAAAATAAAAAAATAAGTCTCATTTTGCTGCTGAAATATTTGTGGTACTGACCAGTTCACTAAAGTCATTCTGTCCTATATCTAGTCTCTCCAGCTCTGTCAGTCTGCTTATAGACTTTGGAAGAGTTTTCAAATGATTCTCTCGCACTTCCAAAATCTTCAGTTTGGACAACCTGCAGAAATTTTCAGTGAAATATATGCATCCCATTACAGTCATTGCCACTTTCATTACCTTACAATAATCAGAGTTTTTCTATATTGCAAAAGTAAATTAGAATGTTTCTTTCAAAGTGATGTTTCAGAGATAACATAAGAACTATATAAGTATTATATAAATTTTGCATTGCTTTGCCAAATATTACAAACAGAACCCTGATATATATAATTGACATTTGGTTTGACCTTAAAAGATGTTACATTTTTTTAGTATCTGATGATGATCTTTAAACCTTAAAGGTCTATTCTCTAGTAATACATTCAATTATTCACAGATGTTCTCAGACAAAAAAAATATGCAGAATTACTACCTTCTGACACTTCTTACACACTATGATAACTTGTTATGGATTTAAGGATTCTTCAAATACTTCAATATATATATCATTCGGTACTATGCGATTTTTGCAATACTTTATTGTTTTTATCAACATTATCATTATTACTGTTCATAACTATCATCAGCTTTGTTTCACTTTTAATTGTGTGCCGAAATGAGATTACCTTCCAAAGTTTCCAGGTAAGTAATCCAGGAATGTGTCATTGAGGAATAACTGGGTTAGATTGAGGAGCTGGGTGAAGCCATCAGGAAGCCTGAAATCAGAGGGAAATTAATGGGTTAGATTGAAAAGCTGTGTGAAGCCTTTAGGAAGCCTGAAATCAGAGGAATCTCAGCATTCATCTGGCATCGGTGGCGAAATATGTAATGTATGGAATATAATTCTGTACTTGTCATAGAATAGGATTTATTCATCTACAAAAAAGCATCAGAGAACTTTTACTATGTGTTAAAATTCTCATCACTTAAACTGACTCAGCTACTCTAAGAAGCTTTTTATACCAATTTCATTTGTATTTTCATTCAACAAAGAAAAAAACCCACATACACATAAGTAAAATGTGCATAAAGCTTGATCACCTGAATGAAATATTTATGATTTCCTTCTAAGAGGTAACCAAGCTTCCATCAAAGTAAAAGATGTACTTACTTTCCCAGTGGGTTTACACTGGCCTCCACAACACTGAGGTATTTACAACATTTGATATTTTCTGGGAGATCTAGTATACCTATAACAGAGAGAAGATTTATATAGCATTCAAATTCAAGAAAGTATGTGATATTTATTTGTATTTTCCACAGTAACAAGGAGGCCAATGGTTGTGTGGGAACAAATCTGTGGCCTTGAAAAGTAGGCCAAGGTGACTTATACACAAACAGATCCAAGAGATTTATAGGAGTCCTCTCTGTTTTTAGCCTGTAGTCCCCCCCCCCCCCCCCCCTTCTGAAATCTTTGCATAACAAACAAAAAGATGAAGGGTTGGAGGAACTACCTCTTGATGGCCATTTTGATAGCTCCTGCACCAATGAAATCAGAGTTTAACAAAATGAAATACCATAAAATTGCATTCCGATGAACAGTTTTAAAGACTGTCCTCAGATGCCCTATTCCCCTTAATTGTGTTTATGCAATAATAGTAAAGAATACTAAGTAAATTCAGCTCACATACCTGTAAAAGCATAACAAATGCTCCACTGACTCTCCCTATCACATCAACATTACACTGTCTTACAACAGTTGACATTTTAGACATAAGGTCTTTTGTAATCACTTTGACATGGAGTGTTACTACTGAATATCAGATCAACTTTACTGCTTCCCACTGAGTTCAACAGCCTCCTCTAGGAATGTGATAGCTTTTGAGGGATAGATTTTCTCTATTAAACAGCGAGTGATTTTTCTAGTTTGTGGAGAAAGACATGGAGCACAAATATATCCATACATAGTTTGTGTGGCTTACATTACAAAAAATCTCTGATGTAAGCAGGGCCTTGAATACCATTTCCTTTTACAAGGAAATTTATCCAACAAATATTTCATATTTGTTTAAATCATAGGAAGCGCCATAGTGAATCTGAGTGACATATACACGTTTAATTCACATTCATGATATATACAATTAAATACAAATAATATTAGTATTATACTTTAAATGCACAGAATAAATGCATGTGCATACAAACACACACACCAAGACAGACAGACAGACAGAAAGATACACAGACAGGCATGCCGCACACACACAAACACACACATAGAGGCACACACACACAGGTACGCACACACATGCACACACACACACATAGAGGCACACACATACACACATGTAAACACACAGAGGCACACACATATACACATGTAAACACACAGAGGCACACACATATACACACAGAGGCACACACACACACACATGCACACACAAAAACGTCAAAGGCACACAAACACACACACACACACACACACACATACAGTCACGTACCATTTTTGCTGATATCCAGATGCTCCAGGTTAACCAAGCTGGCTATGGCGGGAGGGATGGATGTGATCTCGTTGTCACTGAGGTTCAGTTTCTTTAACCCATGACAATAAAACAACTCCTGAGAACATAAGAAACAGAAGGATTAAATGTTACAATTATTCTTCTTACATCTCTCTCCTTCTTTCTCTCTCTCTCTCTCTCTCTCTCTCTCTCTCTCTTTCTCTTTCATGACATATTATCATAGTATCATAACTAATGAGTCTGTGGTCAACCATACCTTACCAATCCCATGGTGTATTGCAAGCATTTCAATTTCATACAAGTCTGGGGTAGACCACACAATAAACTGTTCATCAAATTAAAAAATAAATTTCTGTATATGTCCTATGTTAACCAAAACAAGTTTTAAAGAAATATATAAATATTTACATTAAACATCTAATTTTACATTATAATTCAGTGCCTTTAATAATTCTTTCAGGTTTTTTAGTGAAAAGGATTCCCTCCATTGAGCACAAGTTGTGGCAAACCTTTAAATATTCACTATAAAGAGTGCAACGAAATAAATAGCCAACATGTGGTAAACCACTTGAATGCCTCCTCTACCACTGTGGCTAGGCTGTGATACATCACTTACCCTGTTAATTCAGAATAGGCTTGGCAGATATAAGAGAAAGTAAACAAGTTGAATATTCTAAAGGTTAAAAAAAGGGAGAATTTGGTAAGGTTTTATTGACAGAGTCCCTAACTTACAGAAAACATTTATTTTGAAATGCACAGCAGCCAACATGAGTATCAGAAAACTTGGTGGCTTTTACTCTGCACTCACATTCAATGTAGTTGTTATCATGCCATGATATGATGGCCATCAGTTAGTTAAGGTTAAAAATTAATTAACACTGAAAATCAGACTTGACCACATTCACAGACAATGAGGCTGTAACCTTGGACATCCCTAACTTACAATCTTCTGTATGAATCTGATTGTCCAGTGTGACGTCAAGCAGTTCTGACAGCCTGTCTTTAGAATATTACTTGATTTCCATTATAATGTTAATAACATAACAGTAGAAAAGGACCCTCAGACTACATGTTATACACCCCCCCCCTCTCCTCCCTCCAACCTTACCCTAGGCAAGTCCTTGATTTGGTTAGCCCCCACATACAGCTCCTCCAGTGTGCGTTCAAAGTTGAAGATCTCCCTGGGGACCTCATTGAGGCTACAGTGACGATAGTCCAGCACCCTGACATCTTCGTCCTGCTTGTTCTTACAGATACAGCTGGTGAACACCTTAGACATGCTGCTGGCCTGAAAAACCAAGAGAAAAAGTTAATTTTATAACTATGTTTTGACCTAAACTATAATATTGTAGTAAATTAAGGCACACTTGTCTCACACTAAAAGACTGATCAATGGATTACCTAACTGTCTGATGGCAATTTCATAGAAAAATGTCCTTCTCAGGACCACCCCTCTTCATCAGAAAGAGACCCCATCACAACCACACAATAAATGCTATCAGCTACTATGGGTTAGAGCATGCTACATAAAAGTATGATGAAGAGATCAAAATGACATGACAATGATCCTGACATGACAAGACATGAAAGGATGACAATAATAATGTGAAGATAAAACTGCTCTTCCTCTCCACTTTGTACCTACCAGTAAATACCACACAAAGTGCTGACAGAGACCAGTAGTTCATGCTGTACATACACATGGGGTCTCTGCCTGCTGTCACTTTGCTGTGTTCACTGTGTATGTTATAGGGTTGAGTGAAAGCCTGTCTGACCTAGGGCAGTCCAAAGGAGAAGTGTCAGGGACGTGGACATGGGAAATATGGGGAAAACACATGACAGTGGCCAACATTGGAAGCTGTGTTAAGACCTATACGTGTTTAGACCCAATACTGGTCTAAAACATGTCATCAAAATAACCTCATTACAGTGACATAAAGTATTATAAATACTGGAACTTAAAAACCACCATCATCTAATAGTTCATGTAAGATCAATTAATTTTTATCTGAATTAGTCTGGGTCTAATGACAGTCACTGTCTTCAGATTAAGACTAAGAGCGCATTCTCAACGAATTAAGCCAGGCTTTACAAAGCCGGTGACCTAAAAATGGCGGACGTACATGAAAGAAAAACCGCCTAATCTTTTAATAGTCCTTCCGCCTCCCCACACGTCGTCCCTGCGGGGTACAGTAATTAAATCGCGTCTCCGTTCGCCATGCGGAAGCTACCTGAGAAATATTAAGTGCGCATGCTCATCAGTTAAACTCGTGGTGAAGAAAGCATGGGGGCTGAAGGAGATCGAAGGAAAAAAGCTCTTCTGTTCTATTATCTTTGAAAACAAAGACGAAAAAGGAATAATTTGGCCCGTAGAGCAGCATTGAATCGACTATCTACGGAGATAATATCACCAGAGATATTCACGGAAATATTAATGTTCGGAGCCGAGATTTAATTACTGTACCCCGCAGGGACGACGTGTGGGGAGGCGTGTGAGAGGCGGAGAGACTATTAAAAGATTAGGCGGTTTTTCTTTCATGTACGTCCGCCATTTTTAGGTCACCGGCTTTGTAAAGCCTGGCTTAATTCGTTGAGAATGCGCTCT